GGGGGGGGGGGGGGGGGGGGGGGGGGGGGAGGGGTCAATCAGGGAAAAAGGAGACATATGTAATACTTTAAACAATAAAAAAATCAATTGCTTTTCTCGCCTCAAAAATACAAATAAATATTTTTTTCTGGAAAAAAACACAGTTCATTTAACAATGATTACAGAATTCCTGTAATTGCTATTGCTTTATAAAATTACTCTATAAAAATAGGACTGGAAGGACTGATATAGAAAATTTCGGATAGTGGTTATTTCAGGGGGAAGAGGATTATGGATAACATTTCTTAATGCTTATCATCATTTTCTAAAGTTTTTACAGTGAATGTGTTATACAGTAATTTTAAAAAGTTACAAAAATAGCAAGTCAATACACAAAACTTTTAAACTGCTTTAAAACTTATGAAGTCTACTAATGGCTTTACATGCACGGCCCTTGGGAAAGCAGAAATACAATTCTGAATTTTAAAATCCTTGTAAAAGGAACCTCTTCGCTGGTTTTACAGTCTGAACATGTGAGCTCCTGCTGCCCTCTTTAGGTTTATTCAGGCTGAGCAGAGAAAATTTCAAATGAAAGTAGTAATTTGAATATAGGTTAATTATAACTTCTTTGGTAGACAAACAGTACTTCCTCAGAAATGGTGAACTAGTCTCCCACTGTAACATTCTTTTGTCACTGATGGGCTATAGGCTGAGTCATAGCTTCTGTAGACAAAGTAAACAGTGTCTTCTAGGCAAATTAAAACCAGACAGAGGATCATAGTTTTATATAATGGTTTTTGGAATATCTAAGGATATATTAAAGGCCCCAAGGAGTTCTATACTACAGATAAAATTTGAAGACTACTTTCCTTACATGTCCTCTCTCTTAAAATTTCCTATATGATAGAAATCTAATCTCTTTTTTGCTTATAAATTCTTTGGGGCTTTAAAAATGATTTTTAAGTTCTATATTTTTTCTGCTTGCTTTCTTTTCTTTATATCTCTATTTTGAGACTTATTTAATATAAAAAGCAAATAAACATCTCAAAGGAATAAGTAGGTTATAAAAAAATAAGTAGGTTATTTTCTGAAGGAACCTGTGTCAAAAAGAGAGAATGGGACACTGTTACAGATTAGAGGATAATTTTGTTAAAGTTGGAAAAAAAAACCAAGCTGATATACAAAACTTCTCAACTGCTTTAGAATTTTTCAAGATTAGTAATGGCTTTAAAAGTACGGCTTTAAATACACAGCCAAAAATCGATAAAAAGCTGAATTTGAAAGTCCTTGTGAATGGAACCACTTGGCTTTTTAGAAAATACAGAAACACATTAAAAAGTGTTATTCGCATCCTCTTCCCTGCTGAAATAACCACTATCTGAACCTGTGAGTTTCTGCTCGCTTGGCAGTGAGGGTGAGGACAGTGATGTGGTCAGACTGATGATGCTTGGGATTTGGCTGAGAAGCACCAATACTAGTAGCCCCTCCTTCTACGTTGCTCACCCCCCTCCCTACGGTCCAAATTTGGCCAAAACCAAAAGCAATTTTGTATTTTTTGTTCTAGCATTTGCATGTGTGGTTCACAGCCCTTTGGCCCCTCGAGCACAATACTTCAAGTTGTGGGACATGGTTAGGCTGCTAACTTTGACCGATCTCCCATAAGGAAAAGCAGGTGCCCCAGAAAGATCCAGTGACAGCTAATACTTGGTTATCATTTTAGGGTTGGAATGTGCTGTGAAATATACTATCTAATTTGACTTTCACACCAACCCTGTGAAGTAGTAATTAGCCCCATTTTATAGATGAAGAAACACCTTCAGTGAGGTTAAGTGATTCATCAAGTAAGTAAAGCTGGGACTTGAGCCCAGGTCATTTAGATTCCAAATCAAGTACTCTGATAGGGGACTGGTCACTTGGGATTCAAAATCATTTTTGGTCATTTTTTCCCCAGAAAAGGCAAAATAAACTGTTTCAATTATTCTTACCTGGTAGTGCAAAAATTATTTTTCTTACACCATCAATATCCAAAGTTGCAAATGTCGTTGGCAGGCTAGAGAAAAAAAGAAGATTATTAGTTCTGTAAAGTAGTATAACAGGTAAATTCAGTACTCCAGTTTTCTTGTTACATGGTTCTTCTAATAGAAGGCTTGTCATATAAAAATACTTCTCTGTTGATTATTTAAATCTTTATATCCTGAAGTGTTCCAAGAGCATGTAAATTAATTTGTTTTTAGCATCTACTATTTCCAAGTAACCAAACTCCTTGGTTTTCTGTAGCTTACTTTTCTCCCTTCCTGCCAGTGTCATAGAAGAGTATCCCAAGTCCTGGAGTTTCTCCACCCACCTAGCTAATGATGTCTATACTATTGTTGCTGGTGATTCATAACAATCATTCTTATTATCAGAAGGTTACCTCATAATACATGCCTATCAGATAACTGCCTATTGCTCAAAAGGAGTATTTCTCAACCCTTTAAAACTGTACTCAGCAATAAACCTAAGAACTTCCCTCCTATGAAAGGAGTGTTTTGAAATGTCAAAATAAAAAAAAAAAACCCATGACTAGAATATAATTAAAGCAATAATAATATTAAAAATTCCCATATTATACTTTCTCAAGTTTCTGACATGAACCTTTACCATGAGGGGTATGGAGAGGGGTAAGTGTGAGTGGCATGGAGAAGGTGGGAAGTTAAGAATAGTAATTTTTTTCTATTGCCTATCCTTTACATAGAATTTCAGCTATAATTTTTATTGTATTAATGAAACTTGAGTGATGTAGAATCCTTAGGGAGTGATGAAGTTTCCTATAGTTGAAAAATTATCTTTTTAAGCACCCAAATTTGTTTTATTTTTACTGTTTTTGCAGGTTGGGCTTTCAAAAATGGGTCATAATATTTTTTGATGATTTACAGCCATTATTATTAACTTATTCTACTCTTCTATAATACAGTGATTTTGGGTCACAAGGGTATTTTGTGTTCTTTTCACTTATAAACCATAGATGTGAGAGAGAAACATTGGTTGCCTCCCATATGCACCCCGACCAGGTATCAAATCCACAACCCTAGGTATGTGCCCTGACCAGGAATCAAACCTGCAACTTTTTTTGGTGTATGGGACAATGCTCTAACCAGCTGAGCCACCGGCCAGGGCATCTGTTTTCTTTGTTTTTGTTTTTTTTAACTAGTGTTTTTCTGTGGCTTCCCTTAATGCTAGACTGTCATCATCTTGACCCTTAAAGCTTGCTTAGGTTTGGGAACCAGAAAGTAGTAATAGTAGTTATATTGTTGGAATGATAATAATAACAATAATAAAAGTTACTATTTTTAAAAAGTTCTATTAACTACATCTATTATTTCATTTAATTTTCACAGTAATCTCATGAGGTGATAATTATCATCCCATTTTATAGACGAGGAAACTGAGAGATTAGCAATACCCCAAATCACTCAGCTACTAAGTGGGGAAACAAAGATTTGAACCAAGCTTTGTCTAACTGTATGACTCATAACTTGATGAGGCTCTGTATATAGGGTATGCTGTATATAGACTTCATAACATCTATTTTTGACTACTCTGAGGGCTATTTTTTGCTTACTTTCTGATTCTTTGATGTAGTTTAGAAAGATGAGATTAGATTGTCATATTGATTTATGGATAGGTTATTTGGCAATGATTGTTACTGTATGATGAAAATAATTTCCAAGATGCATTCTCGAAAACAGCTATGTTCACTGTAGATGACTCATAAAAATTGTGATTGGTAGATCTGGTTGATAATAATCCAAATGCTTTTTTTGAGTATCTCTGTGTTTAAAATGAAAGAGGTTAGTTACATTCTAAATGCACTGTATGTGGGAAGAGCAAGACTAAAGTGTTCTGAGGTTTTATATTTGTTCTTGTACTATTAGGCAGCAATTATCTTTAAAATCTTACCTTTAGACAAGTATAAAATTCTGGCCAAGTAAAGGAAGCTCATTTAAAATTCTAAACCACTTTACTATAGCAAACTAACATGCATAATAAGAGTGAGGAGGGAATGCATAATACCTTCTATCTACTATACTATTTGAATCTACCAATTCAAATCATCTTGCAGACAGGTACTATGATTTATCTAAAGGCACTAATTTAAAAAAGATTCCATTACAACAAAACATTTTGTTATCATGCATTGCTGTCATGAGTGTCCTATTGCTAGACTGTGAAGTCTTTTTAAGCTCTGGGAAACCATTTCCTTGGAACTCAACACTTACTGTTCAATTCCCCTCCTGAGATGAGAATGTAACAGAACAATGAGTGAAGTCATGACTTTAAGGGAACTGATGAAGTCCCAAAGTTGAAGTAAGTGGTAAATAAAAGACTGAAAATAAAAAGAGTGCTAAAATTATACATCACAGGTGCTGAGATTAATTTAAACATATATTACACAAATAATTGTCTTCTAGTGGTGAGGGCAAGTAATGCCAACTTTTTTCTCACTGCAAAGGAAATAATTGATTTAATTTTTGGGGTTAGTGAGAAGCACACTGACATACTTTTGAGATGTCCTCTGTTTTCTAATCAAATTTGTATGGCCACAGGGAAAGGAAAAGAAAAAGCCTGTGCACCCACACCATAGCAACATTTGCTTAAGATAAAATATTCCTAATAAGAATGATCCAAATCCAATAATTTCAATAATAAAAGAACCTTGTCAGTAGCAGCCATATTGGGGTAACTACAGAATTAAAATGTCAAGAATTTTAAGTTCTATCAAGTTGTGAAGAAAACTTTAGGGATAATCTTAACTTCATACTTAAATAGCAAAATCATGGAGGCAAAGTCTGATCGCTATCCTAGAACTGACATGAGTACCCAATAAATCAGGGAGATTACAAGGGCTAGGGACACTTAAAAAAGGCTTCTGGAATATGGTAATAGTTCCCACAGCTCCTAACTGTAAGTCTCACCTCTACTCTCTCTTGGGGTTCACATGAGCACCCATCAGAGTATAATTCTGAACTACAGCATTATTGTTATTGTCCCTGATGGCATGGAGGTGGTGCTGGAATGCTCACCCACACACTGAGCCTTTGAATAGGGAACCAAAGGTTTACAGAGTAGCAGGGGTCTGAATAGGTAGACAACTGCTTGAAGACATGGCCACACATATTTCATCAACACCAATGGTTGATATTCTTTAAAGATTTACAATTGATTATAGAGCTTCCATCAGTCCTTCCTTAGGGAGTTATTAGTTTTTAGGATATGTGCAAGATCTTAGTATTTGGTTATTTTTCTTTCCTCCTAGGAGGTAGTAAGAAGCAGTATAAAATACTACTTATTAAGTATTCTTACAAAGGAAAAAAAGTTGAATCTTCATCTAATCAAGCCATTAGACCTAACTTCCAGTCTACAGAATATCCTGGAGAGAGTGGAACAAATTAAATACCACCACAAAAACAATCAGCCCAATCCATTCGTTTAGGACAAATGATTCATTCAGTTTCCTCAACAAGTCAATGGCATGACAAAAAAGGAGGGGGACAGTAAATGTTCTTTAACAGCCAAATACAATGAGTGCACTGACTTGAATCCTAATGCAAACGAAACAATTATAAGAAGGCATTCTTTTCTTAACACATAGGAGAACCCTGAATATGATCAGGGTATTAGATGTTAAGGTATTCTTATTTATTTTGTTAGGCGAGGCAATACCACTGTGATTACTTACATAAGAGGATACTGCTGCTGTTGTTATTATTTGAGATGTATATAAAAATGACATGTCTAGAATTTGCTTTAATATAAGCTAGCCCTTTGTCCCCTCAACAAGGTGTGGAATGGGCTGATGAAGCAATTATGAAAAAATGTTGATAGTTACAGAAGCTAGGTGATGGGTTCATGGGGGCTTCACTGTACTTCCTACTTATGTGTATGTTTGAGAATTTTCATATTGAAATGTTTTTAAAGAGAGAGAAAGAATCAGTATGGAGAGAAAGAGAAAAAGAGAAAGCAGGAACTAGACATGGGAATTAAAGGGAAAAAGGTTTGGTAAGTTGCTTTGCTTTGTTTATACCAAACTCAGTGATTCATAAGGAAGATGAATACCCATTTCAGATAGGAGCTGCACTTGTGCAAAGAATTCTATTACTATAATATTTCTTCTATTAAAATAGGTAATCCATCATAGACTATATAAGAAGAAAGCATTTAAAGCTTTGTTAGTTAAAGTAAGCCAAACCAAGCCCATATATGAGATAACAAGATTATTTTCATACCCTGGCTTCATAAACACCCTGCCGAAATGGATCTGAGCATGAAGGTCAATGTCCAGCACCTGCTTGAGATAGTCCTGCAAATATGAAAAAGAATCGCTTTATTTTCAGACATTTGAATACCAGACTTTCAAGATGAAGATAAAATGAATTTATAAGATTAAAATAAAAAACCACCTTATTTTAGTGAAGTTGACTTTGTGTAAGACAAATATTCATTCTTCAGTCAGTCATTCATTCAATAAATATTTATTGAGCACTTGTCATATGCTAAGTACAGGGGATATAGTCTTGAACAAAAGAGATAATGCTCTTTATATTTATATTTATTTATTATATGTGTTTTTTATTGATTTCAGAGAGAGGAAGGGAGAGGGAGAGAGGGATAGAAACATCAATGATGAGAGAGAATCATCCATTGGCTGCCCCCTGCATGTCCCCCACTGGGGATCAAGCCTGCAACATGGGCATGTGCCCTGACTGGAAATAGAACTGCGACCTCCTGGTTCATGGGTTGATGCTCAACCACTAAGCCACACCAGCTGGACTTTATATATATTTTAAACCTTTCAAGGTATTATTATTTTATACAATCAACACTCATTTACATTTACCTACATATTAACCCTTTCCTTTTCCCTTTTCAGTCCTTTCTGCATTTCCATGCTTCCATAATCTTTCTGCCTAAAAAACTTGCGTTAGTATAGGTCTGCTCAGTTTTTGTTTGACTAAAAATGTCCCTATCTTAATTTTTGAAGGAAATTTTTGCTGAAAACACAGTTCCACAGAGGCAGTTATTTTCTTTTAGCATTTTATAAATGCCATTCCAGTGTTTCTGAGTACCATCATTTCCAGTTAAATCATTTCTGTTAGTTTTACTGTTGGTTCTTTGAAGGAAATATGTCCTTTGGTAAGATTTTCTCTTTGTCCTTGGCTTTCAGTAGTTTTGCTATAATTATTTAAGGATGGTTTCTTCCTATTTATACTGATTGAGATTAGCAGAGCTCCTTGACTTTCTGACTTGATATCTTTTATTGATTTGGGAAAACTCTTTGCCAATACTTCTTACATATTGCTTCTGCTTACTCTTTCTTCTTTCCTTCTGGACTCCTATTACATATATGTTAGACCTTTCACCATATCCCATATGTCTTTTATGCCTTTTTTCATCCCTTTTCTAAAATTTTCATTTAATTCTTATGAGTAGATTCTAGTTTTCTAGTAAAATTCTTCATTTTGTCATTCCTTTTTATTAAACATATTAATTACATTGTTTTAAAGTCCATCATTTTTAGGGCTTTTCTATCTTGTTTTTTTTCCTTCTTAGTTTTTTAGTAATTTTAGCTGGTAATTTAAAAAATTGAAGTGGAAAAATTGAAGAGGCTCTGGATGATAATATATTCCTCCAGAAACTTCTGGCAGTCAGTTAAGGTAAACTAAGATTACTATGGTCTAATCCAGTATTGAGATAATTTGAGAAAGATTTCAGTCTTTGAGAAGGCTTGTTTTTTTTTTTTTTTCCAGTTTGTCCTTATTCCTAGAACATAGTTTTTCAAGGGTTTAAACTGAAAACCTGAAATTTCTGCCAAGGCCCCTCCTTTATGGCAGGCTCTGAACTCCTAAGACTGAAAAATTCTGTTCACTTCATTAATTTATTAGTTACTGTTTTATTCTTGGTTTCTTGGCCTCTGATACTATTATACCTTCCCTCTCCCTGGCTTAGGAATTAGTAAAGGCATTGAAGAAAAATATGATGAAGAATTCCAGTTTTAATTCTCTGCGGTTCACTTTTTTTCTATCTTTTCCTTCTTTTCTTTAAAAATTAAAAAAAGTTAATATAGCTTTTATAGTTGTTCTTGGTGGGAGGATTGATTTCAAATATTTTATTGTTGTTTGAAAATTAGGTAACTAAGTAGTTTCTCAGATACCCATGATCCTATCTAAATCAGGTACTCAATTCTTTTTTGACAACTCTTTTAATTTTGCCTTCTAAAAATCAGGCCTAAATTTAGAAAAACAAAAACAAAACTTCAGAATATTTTTTATACCTGAAACTATCTTTCAAATTTCCTAGAGGGTCCTCTAGGAAATCATAAAGATTTGTGCTTTTATCTTATAAAAAGAGGTGTTTAGAAATAATTAGGTTTGTTCGATAATGTCCCCATATTAAGAGTGTCATGGGAGGGGAGTTGCTGTCATATCTGAGAAGAGATGCTCAGTATGCCCTAAGGTTCGATTCATATAGGTAAAATGTTATCAAATAACTACTTCAGAAATGTTATGCTTTATGGGAAGTGCCTGGAGATTTGACAATGCCCTAGCTGTCCACTATGCTTTTACTCTCAGGGAAAACACTGATAAAAATATTTATGAAATAGTTAGATACTGGTCCAGTTGGTGTGGCTCAGTGGTTGAACATTGACCTATGAACCAGGAGGTCACAGTTTGATTCCCGGCCAGGGTTGTGGGTTCGATCATCAGTGTGGGGTGTACAGGAAGCAGCCGATCAATGATTCTCTCTCCTCATTGATGTTTCTATCTCTCTCTCTCCCTTCCTCTCTGAAATCAATAAATATATTTAAAAAAAGAAAAAATTCGATACTGTATCCCAATAGAGAATTTTACTTATCTTCTATTCTGATATTATTGATTACAGCATCAAATGATGCACAGCCATTAAGTATCTGCTATCTATGGAGTTTCTGTTTTACTCTGATGCTTGCAGTAGGCTCGGCTATAAGCTACAATCAATAGTTTGTGTCTGCAACAAAGGCAGATTCAGAATACTAGGGAGGAATGTCAGAGAAACTTTGAAATACTAACACTTCAAAGAATAGTTTTGGGTACAGGCTTAGATAGAGCTTAGGTAACTTTTATACAGTACCAGTGAACTGAGTCAGGAATCCCAGGACTCTTTAGAATGGAAGCAGATGGTTTCATGAAAGCAGACTGCTAACCCAAGATCTAGCAGAGCAAGAATGATATAGGGCTGAATAAAATGATAAGGAAAAATTTTACTGTGTTTATTTGTTCAGAATATTGTTGATTAGTTTTAATATTCTATTGCTGTTTAACTCTAAATTTGCAACAAATTCAAGAAGGCCTATATTTTTAATTAACAGTCTTGCTGCTAAATAATTAGGGTAAGCCTATGAGACCACCCTTTTTTATGTGTGATCAAAACTATCTGTGATTATTTTGATCAGATGAGGTAATGGAGACACTATTAAGAAAACTTAAGAGACTGTTAAATAGGCAATAAAATAAAATTACTGGGATTACTGGGTATCCAGGTTAAGTATATTCTTCTTGGTTATCTGCACCATTCATTGTTTTTGAATTATTTTACAATTTTGCAGGTTGTAGAAAATTTATAGTAATTCATATAATTCTTTAGTTTTCAGGACAAAAAGCAGATTCTGTTTATCTGAAACTTCCAATTTTTATAAAAATAAAAACTCTTGAAAAAGTCTGTGTGAAGCAGGGGGAGGTAGCAGTGAGGAGAGATTTTATCTGAAAGAGTCATTTTTCACTGGCTCCTTTATAAAGAAAACTAATAGGCCTTACTATATTGGCTCTGTTTAATTGTGAGGGTATCCCTAGGATAAATGACATCTTTGTTAGTTATAAACTTGTTGCCTCTTCAGAAGTATTAGGAAAGACAAATTTTAGGTCTGACAAATAATTATTGTCCTACAATTAAGTTCATTAATAACCAAGATAAGTTATACATGACACACTCCCTGGGAATAACAAATTTAATATTTAAGTACTCAACTTCAGGATTGCTCTTGTGATACTCGGAACACCACCGGCAGTTTGATGATAATAAAAACAGACATTATAGGTCTACTATAATGCAGACTTCAGTCCTAGCCTTTGTGATCTCAGGAGGTCTGCAGTAATTTGCTATACCGAGGACTGAAGACTGCTAGGAGACTTGAAGGAAGACTAACACAGCAAACTGTCTGCTATAAGGAGAATACCTACCTACATTTTAATAGCTTTGCTCTTGGATGTCATTTGCAATGGTAGTCTTGGACTGAGATCCTCTCTTTTTCTTCATTTGCTTTAGCATCTGAATTGCTATTCTTAAACATTCTAAAACTAAAGTTGGGAATGAAAGCAGGCATTCTTTGTTCAGGCTACTGTATTCTGACATTTGTTCTCAGAGCCTATAGAATTCACTGTCCAAAGAGTCAGGTTAAGGATTAAGGCAGCTTTATAGCTAGTGAGTGCAGGGACCAAGAACAATCATATACATAAGGTCTAGCTAAAAATAAATCAAGCTCTTGGAAAATATGATTTTAGCAAAAGTTGCTATTATGACAATATTTTTATAATTTTCAGTTCAGTCATTAATATGAGATTTAAAAAAAAACATGGAAAGGGATTATACATTTGCAAATTACTTTGTGATCTGAAATGTTATTGTGCCAAACATAAGGTTGGTTATCGTAGTAAAGAATATTTCACTTTTATAACATTATTCAATTGACCCAATAATAATCATGGATCAACACATTTCATTTAGACATATATATAAATTTAATGATACTGAGATATTCAAATTGTAATTTTATAGGGGAAAGCATTTTATATCCATGCTTGTATTTTATTTTCATCATTATTATGATTATGACTATTTTTCAAGTGGGGCAAAGGAATACCTAATCTTCTCTTTCTACCTTGTGGACAACCAGGTTTGAAATATGAGGGAGGGGGGTGGCGAGGTCATCTGTAATTTAAATTTAGGTAGAAGGAAGGATCTTGGAGTTTTAACTTAGGAGTAAATATCTACACTAATAAAAGAGAAACATACAAATTGGTCATCACTCCGCTATGCCCACCAGCCAATCAGAGCAACTATACAAATCAACCCAACAAAGATGGCGGTTAATCTGCATATGCAGGCACGAGCGAAGACTGAAGACAGCGTAGAAGGAAGCTAAGTGCTGCAGAAGGGAGCGAAGCTGCGGAGAAGCAAGTGGGGCGGCAGAGATGGGAGGGAAGCAAGTGGGGCGGCGGAGACAGGAGGGAAGCAAGCGGGGCAGCGGAGACAGGAGGGAAGCAAGTGGGGCGGCCGCAGGAAGCCCTATTCTTGCAGGAATCTTCCTGCAACAGGCCTCTAGTTACATATAAAAGAAGTCCTAATGTACTAAGGTTGATTGAGCAAAAAGCTAGAAATCTCCAGGGGGAGATCAAAACCATAATGCAAATTGTGGGATTTTCAATGCTGCTTCTGAGGTAAGCTCTCTGACCTAGACAGCATTCCTTTCTGTATGCCCAGAAATTTCTGAAGCCCCATGGATTTTTAGCTTTGTGGGGGTCTCGTTATACCCCAGAGCACTACCAGATCACAGTTAATCAACTGCATGCAAAGATATTATAGTGGATAAATTTCCATGATCCCCATTTTTCATACCTTTTCCCCCATGGACACACCCCCTGATGTGATGATGACATCAGCACGACTGATACCCTCATTCAAGGCATTGAGTAAGTCATCTGGGCTGGAAAAAACAAAGACAAACACATTAATACACAAGGAAAAGGTTTTAGATATAGTGCCCACTTTAAACTAAACCATGTTATTCACTGAGTAGGTGTTAACCTGAGCACAGTACTATATTCTGTACAAAGTAGGAATTAAAGGGTCTCTGCCCGACAGGAGCATAACTCTTATTATGGATAAAGAATTATGAGCAGAAGTAGTGGCTACTGGTACTTTCACAGGGTTTTCTTCTTTTTTCTCTATCTAACAGGGTAACATAATAAGGGGAAATGATGAGGTATTTGTGTATGCCAAATAGTGATGATTGAAAAATAATTTGTACTTTAAAATTTTGAGATATCTTCTCACCATTGCCACAAAGGGGATGTAAGATAAAGCCTCCTAGGTCAGTGGTCAGCAAACTGCGGCTCGCGAGCCACATGTGGCTCTTTGGCCCCTTGAGTGTGGCTCTTCCACAAAATACCGACTTCTGCGCATGGGCCACGAAGTTTCAATCGCACTGTACATGCGCGCCCACATGTGGTATTTTGTGGAAGAGCCACACTCAAGGGGCCAAAGAGCCGCATGTGGCTCATGAGCCGCAGTTTGCCGACCACTGTCCTAGGTATATATGAGTAGCATCCCTTCTCTCAAAGAGCAGCAGATCTTAAAGAGATATTGTGATATCATTTAATTCTGCCTTCAGTAGCAATCACAGTTTTAATTAGATTTGGATGATGATTAATCATTTATTTAAAAATAAATCAAATACCAGTATTAATCTTAATTTACTAACACTTTATATCCATTTTCACTTAAATTAAGTACCTATCCATTGTTCTCTTAGAGTGCCAAATATTATATGAAAGTATTCTATAAGAGAGTTGATTTAGTACTAAATGCTAAAAATTTAAATACTAGGTGACAGAAAATAGAACGGTTAATTGAAGGCCTAAGTGTTATAAGGTCTAGAATCCAATTTTGTCTCTACTGTTGAGATGACTGAAAAACTAATATCATTTTGGGGTCTCATTATTCTTATTTGCAATATGAGAACATTTAGACTAGATCCTTCCTGTCTCTAACTAACATTCACTGACATAAAGCACTTAAAGCTAATTGGGATCCATTTAGCCTCAAGGTATCATTTTTAAGTTGACCTGGAAGGTATCATTTTTAAGCTGACCTGGAAGTCTACCTAAAAATTACCCACACTGCCCTATCCTGAAAGGCTGGGAAAGCCCAAACTTTTACAACTAAATGTCCAGGAAGCATAAAGGCTTTTTTTTCTTCCCTACTTTAACAGAAGAGTGGCAGCTTGCCACTGGAGCTTTCCCAATTCAGGAGTTGTGACTTCCGTGCCTTTTACCATTTGTGGTCCTCTTTTCTACTACAACTCCATTCCCATCAGGTCCTCAGTATTGTAGCAGCTTCCTGAGGGCTGAGGGCAAATAGATCTCTCAGTAGATAAGGAAAATACCAGCAATTTTAGAACTAGCAATGGGATGTGGAAGAGTAAGCATACTATTTAGGATAGCTAGCGCATTGTGAAATAAAAGTACTCCAGGAAATATATAATTTTAACAATAACAAACAATTAAAGCACTAATGGAGATTGACTTACAACATTAAAGATTTACTGAGTTCTAGGCAAGGTTGAATATTTTATATATATAAATGTCCTGGTAAAATTGTGTAATTTCAAGAATAAAGAGAAAATCTTACAAGCTGTCAGACAGTAAGATTTGATTTACTAAAAAGAGAATATTGGCTTTGGATTTCTTACCTACAATACCAAAAATTATAAAACAGAAGATTAACATCAACATATTCTGAGAAAAAAAGCTTGCCACTACCAAATCATATATCCAGTCAGACAGCATTCACCCATCAGGATAGAAGAACGATATTTGTGAAAATGCAAAAATTCAGATAATAAATTAATAAGTAATGTTCTGAAAAAATAAATCAGATCAGAGATCTCAAGATAGGGCAAGAAAGAGGAAATGCTAGTGAGCCACACACATATTTATAGAACTATATAGCTAAATCTAATATACAATGATCAAATAAACTGAGGAATTATAATATATGTACTATATGTGGATTTCTCTAGAAATTATAGAGATATACTACAAAAGAAAACTTAATAGCCTATAATTAAGAGCATGGTTGCAGCAATACTACCTAAAAGTTGATGGGGTAGGAGATGGGGGAAGTATTCTAAAGGTCTCACTGGTGTAGGGGGTGCATAGAAGAAATGGGGATGTCTTACAGGAGGGATACATTTAGCATCCTTTAAAAATATAATAGTGGAGAAATATATATTTGATTATGAATATTAGAAATTGGAAGGAAATCATGAGGGGGATAGTGAAGAAATAATAAAGCTGTATAAATAGTAAACATAAAGTTTAAGATAAATATAAACAGAAAAGAAAGAAAAACATCAAGGGATGTTTTTATAGCAAACTTCATGGTATGGTAAAGCAAAATAAACTTTATGCCAGGATCAGGGTTACAGTAACTTAAGGCAGATGCAAGATTGAGGGTTTTTTCTCTTTAGCTCAAATCCCATTAGAATGTTATTTACAAGAGATATACTTGAAGATGAAAGACTGAAAGTAAGGGTAGGGCAAAAAGATACCAGGAGGCAAATGTAAATAAGCAAAAAAGTAGGAGTGGTATATTAATGTCAAAGTGGAATTTCAAGTAAAAGAACTAAAAAGAATAAAGAGAAGCAACAAGTTGGGAAAAGTAAAATTTATGAAGATGACACAATCCTATCTAATAAAGAGGGAATATGCTAATTGACCCTCACACCGTCACAAAGATGGAGGCACCCACAGCCAATAAGGAGGGAATATGCTAATTGACTGCCCACCCTCAAAGATGGCGCCCAGTCCCCTCTGCCCTGCTGGGGCAGCAGGTGCGCAACAAGGCCTGCTTTCTGAGACCCCCAGTCCCCTCATCCTCTAGCTGCCCAGGGCCGCCCGAGGCTCAGGTAACCAGGGCCGACTGAGGCTTGCACTGCCGGCAATGGCAGCAGCAGAGGTGTGATGGGGCATTGCCTTCCCCTGATCGCTGGGTCGCCTCCCACCCCTGAGGGCTCCTGGACTATGAGAGGGGGCAGGCTGGGCTGAGGCACCCCCCTTCCAGTGCATGAATTTTCATGCACCGGGCCTCTAGTAATATATGACTGCCTCACAAGACAGGGTCTCATTTATCTAGGCTCCTTTATTGCCTCTCCAAATCTCTACACATTGTAGGAACTCAAAAAATGAACTGAACAAACCCTGGCCTCTATGCCATCTCTCCACAGTAGATTTGGGAATGAATAGTGTACAATTATTACAACTATAATAATATTATGGGCAATAATATTGTCTGTGGATGGAAGAGAAGATACTATTTAATATTTATATAGACATAAATAGTACTTTCTTTGAAAGCTTGTCATATATAATAGGGAGTCAATTTATTTGGTATTGCTCCAGAGGGCAGAATTAGGACTAATGGATGGAAGAAACAGGGATAAAGACTGGCTCAGTGAAATGGAAAAAATCCTTATCATAAGAGCCATCCAACAATAAAATGTGCTACCTCATGAGGCAAATAAGATCTTTCTCACTAAAAGCATCAAACAAAAACCGGATGGCTAGTTAGGAATTTTCTCTAACACCTCCAATAGTGAAAGATTTGACTAGCTAACATCAGAAGTTCCTTTCAATTCTAACATACTGTGATTATATGGAAATAATGAAATTTATATAAATACAGCAACTATTTTCTCTTCATACTGGTACATAGACTGGAGCATAGAGGGCAAAATGGACTAGAGTATTGCAATATAATAATCATCTTGAATATTATACTTTTCTCCCTTTCACTTTTTGAACATCAAGAACATCTGACTATTTGACTTGCAAAAAAACCCAAACAAACAGCCGTAGCCGGTTTGGCTCAGTGGATAGAGCGTCAGCCTGCGGACTGAGGGGTCCCAGGTTCGATTCCGGTCAGGGGCATGTGCCTTGGTTGTGGGCACATCCCCAGTGGGGGGTGTGCAGGAGGCAGCTGATCGATGTTTCTGACTCTCTATCTCTCTCCCTTCCTCTCTGCAAAATCAATAAAATATATTTTTAAAAAAACAAACAAAAAAACAAACAGCATTTTTTCTTTGCAAAGCTCTAACATTCACCTTCAACCTGGGATATGGCTACCGATAATAACAACAGTCTCCCTAGAATTCTAACTTAATCAGATGTCAAAGAAGCTTAAATTTAAAAGAAAGGCAGATAAAAGAGACAGTAGAAGTATAATTCAAATTAAATCTATCAGAGAATGAATGTGGCTTTCTCAAAACTTTATGTATGAATCAGTCTCTGTGAAGGAATATATCAATGATATCTTTGCAGTAGGCTTTGGAGACTCACTTTTAGTTCAGGCTTTTTTCCTTTTTAAAATTTGTATCTGCTTTAAATTACCACAATCCTGATTCTGGCATAGTTTTCTTTTCTTTACCATGAAGTCTACTATAAAATTCAAAACCAAGATAGAGTTTTTACCCACGTTTAGATTTTATGGATTTCAGACAGAGCATTCAGAATGCAAATGCACTTTTATTTTAAAATATTTAATATAAACACACAGATGGACAACAGCTGCTAATTAGTTTCCTGTTTCATCTGTTATACCAACTGTGAGCTATATCATTTTAAGATGAGTGAAGAGACAGTGGGAGAGTTAGAAAAAATTCTGAGATTGGAAATTAAGGAATAATAGCAGTTTATTATACCAAGATAACAACAAAAAATAGTTCAGGACATATACTAATTTCTTTAGGGGTCAAGGATAAATTCCTTAAAACAAATATTTTTTGGTGTCTACTTCACGTATGAAATCAAGCTGCATACTCCATATTGCCATCAGTTAGTCCTTCTCCAGTCCCACTGGGTATTTAGGCACCATGGAGTCATAAAGAGAGAAGGAAGCATGGTCTCTACCTTAAGTTTACAAGCTAGTACAGAAAACATGGCAAAATTTAGGAAAATGAGCGAAATTAGCAATGAAATTAATATCACTGACTGAATTCAAATATGTTAATTAACACTACAGTAAAATGCATATAAGGAGATATTATATAAATATTGAGTGGAACATAATGATTAAATCTGGTATGGAATAATTAGGAAAAGATTTTTGGAAGATATTACTTTAATGGGGGTCGGTAAGAAATTCTATAAGTACAGTAAAAACTGGAGGTTATTCTTAGAAGAATCAATAACATCAACTCTCAAGGATTAAGAAAGTCAACTGTAATAGCCACTAAAAAAGTTTGTCACCAAGAGTGGGAAGAATCTTTTGTTATTAAACACATACTTGTTCAAGTAGAAAGAATATTTTTGGTTAACCAATAGAAAATCAGGGACCTCTGCTGATAAATGGTCAGGAAAGGAATCTATTATGTTGAAGTGAAAATGAATACCTTGCATTTTGAACAGAAAAGGGAAGTAGGCAGTTTATAAAGATGATAAGAACCAATTAAATTCAGACAAAATTCCTCCTGTTAATTAGAAATTTCCACTTTTAGAACATTAGGTAAGCTATAGCAAGTTAGCATATGTTTTATTCACAAATTGGAAGGTGTAAGGCACTGGGCTTTGCCCAAATAATCACTGTACTGTTAAGTCTATCTTGATAATTCCTGCTACATGTGCCAGTTTTATAAAAATTCAATTTGCTATCTCAGTGCTTATTACCCTTCTGTTCATGCTTTAACGTGAAGAGGCAGCTTCACAAATTGGCAGCAGCAGGAATAGGCAATTCAAATCCAAAACACCATCTAGGACAGAGCCAAGCAAGCCCAGCATGACTAGAGTGGGGCAAGCTTCTGTGATGGCAATGTTCCAGGTGGGGAACCCTTTTCTTAATATGGGAATTTCTCAGCCCTTTAAGTCTTGAAAGGCTAGAAGGTTCAAGTCAACGGTTTGGAAGCTATATTACCAAGCTGCTTTATAGCTGAGGTAGAAATATAAACAGCTCAGTAAATCAGTTTTAGGAATAATATAAATTCAATTAGTATCAAACTTTATTTTAAAAGGTTTCCCCAGCTCTGGTAAGGTGGCTTAGTTGGTTGGACTGTCGTCCATAAACCAAAAGGTTTCAGGTTCGATTCCCAGTTAGGGCACATATCTAAGTTGTGGGTGCAATCCCCGGGTGAGGTGTGTATGGGAGGCAACCAATCGATGTTTTTCTCTCACATCGATGTTTCTCTCCCTCTGCCTCTGCCTCTGTCTCTCTCTCTCTCCCTGTCCTTTCTGCCCTTCCTTCTCTCTCTAAAATAAAAACATATCCTTGGGTTAAGATTAAAAAAAGAGAGAGAGATTTCCCCAAGTGGATTCTGTGTATTTGGATTATGATTACTGTTATATTTAAGAAGGAAATGTATAAGATCATCTACTTAAGTCTGAGGGAATAGCTCCCCAACTTTTTAAATTAGAAGCTTTTAAAATCCATTTGGAATTATGCCCACACCCCCATCTTACATTTTTTTTTTCTTCAGAAATATAAAATGAATCACTCCAGGTACAAAGCTTAACACTGTACCTTTTATGAGGATGTGTCTTAGTCACCAATGCAATTATGCTGTCAGTGTCATACTTTCTGGTCTGCTCCTATGGCTAAGGTTTTTGGACTCACTTTAAGGGACCCTGTAAGATTCTTCTGGACAATTGCATAGTTGGAAGTTTGTAAGTTCCATGGAAAGACGAGGTGGTATAGGGAAAGATGGCAAGACTGTCGAATGTAGGAGATGTACTCTTACTAAGTGCTGTGGACATAGAGTTACCAAGACACAGCTTTTATATCATGGAGCTTATAATCTGGTGGGAAAGAAAGCACCCTGTTTAGACCACAAAAGATAGCAATTTATTTAAGAAATTTTATCAGGAAACTGAGGGAAAAGAAAAAAATGCAAAAACAGAGAAGTACGTATGTGCCCAAATGACCAATAACATAACCAAGTCTGGTCACAGTTGTCTCGATTAGCACCTGTAGTAAGTAATCTCTACTTATTTACCTACCCATATGTCCTCAGCTGTTTTATTTATCATTTACCTCTGCTATTAACATAGCTTTGCATACGGAAGACACTCAACAATTATCATAACATGAATAAAATAAAAACTTTAAAACACTCTCAAATAATTGGGGGTATATGCCAAGATTTAGTAATAAGGATGTTAGTCATTTATTTACAATTGAGAAAGATTAGAAACAACCTAATGTATGGCAACAAGGGATATAAATAAATATTATTGTACTTTATACTAGAGAATAACATGTAGGCATTAAAATGATATAGCAAAAATAAATAAAAAATTATATAGCAGAGAACTATGTAATGATATGAACAGATGTTTATAATATATTGAGTAAGAAAAGGAAAGTTAAAATAAGAATATGATTTCTTTGACTTCTTGCACATGCATACACACATAAATAGTATACATGCATAGAATTAAAGAATGAAAGAAGGGTAATACTGCGTAATGGAATTAGGTGTTAATTTCCTTTCTTTTTTTAAAAGATTTTTTTAAAAAATTGATTTTTAGAGAGAGAAACATCAATGTGAGAGCAAAACATCCATTGGCTGCCTTCTGCATACCCCCTACCAGGGTCTGAGCCCACAACCCTGGCATGTGCCCTGACCGGAATCAAACTGACGACCTCCTGGTGCCTGGATCAGCACCCAATCACTGAGCACTCCGGCCAGGCAAGTAACATTTATTTGTATACAAAAGTACCAACATAAGAAAATAAAATGGACAAAATTATAGTTCAGAACAGATTAAGGTTAAAATGACAAAAAAAAAGCTCCTTTTACCTTATTTCTTAGAGCTCATTAAAGCACTTGGAGGCAGGGCCAGAGCCAGTGATAGGTAGGAAACAAAACCTAAACAACCTGGTAGGTTTGTTCTATACAGTTTCAGGTCTGCTCTGTGTTTTTGGAACTCTTGGAGTTGTACTATCTTTTCTCAGAAGTGAATTTTTGTCTTTTTAAAAGCTGTATCTGTATCAGGATTTTCAGGTGCTTGAAGTTTACATGGAAGGAGAGGTTACTGGTCAGGTTCAAATGCAAACAACTACCCGCCTTTCATCCCCCCTTTCTTTCTACTTCCCCAGGGCTAGGGAGCCTGGATCAGGGTGATATTAGGTAACCTGTGACACTGGCTTCACCAGGGGTTCCATGGGGGCTGGCCACTTAGCTATAGGCTTCTCTAGAACTAAACATCCAGGCAAACACAAGTGGTGAAGAATCTAAAAAGAATGATGTTTGAAATATGTCTAACAGCCTCTACAAAAAATGTCCTCAGAAAAAGAAATAAAATCAGGAAGAAAGAAGAGAACTTTAAAAGGTCAGATGACATAAAAGCTACTGCTTCTCAGGTTACTGGCAAGATCCTGTGTCTAAGTTTTGATGTGTTGTGTCCAGTTTAAGCCTAAGGTGGGGTTTACAGGTGTGAGAGCATTAACTTATGAAATGGTAGGGTAGAGCTTTTCTAAAAGCACATTTGATTTCTGAGAAAGCACTCATCTTAAGGGATGAAGGATCACGGTATAATGAGCTTTACTCAGTGACCAGGTGGTAATGAGAGAGAAGGATGATTATGGGTGACAGAAACATACTGGTATCTACCACTCAGGTTCAGCTCCTAGCTTGTCTCCACAAGGCTGATATTTCAGAATTACTAAAAGCAGGCACACCTTTGGTGAACGGGAAATAGTGCCTGGTGAAAGATGGCTGAGTAGCAGTGTTGCATGGTAGTGGGATGCTCAGAAAGCAGGCTTGCTTTAGGTCATGTGTAAGATACAGCTGGAGAGTCACTGGATTACTTGGGGAATTTAGTAGAGGGCTGAGTTAATTTAGTAAATATGCTGTTAGAGATGGACAATTATAGTCAGCATGCCTCCCTCTGAATTTTCAAGTTGGTGAAATCTGGAGAAACTCAGGTTACATAAGGATGCCAAAATAAATACAGAGGCCCTAGAAAACAACTGTACTTAAACTTCAAAAAATCAGTTAGTGCTAATTTTGACATTCTCTCTTACTCTTCTCACTTATGCTATGTCTTCCCTGTCTTTCTTGAAACAAGTAAAAGTATGAATAGGAATAAAACACTATCACCATTACTTCCACTAGGATAAAGACAACACTATCAAAAAAGATCCCTGTAAATTTAATAAACCCATAGGACAGCAAAATATTTCTCCTGTTGTAATAGGCATTTCAGGAAAATGTCTGTCCCCAATGGACATAGATACTTCCACAATTCTTGGGCTTCTGAAGAATGAAATACGTGAAAATTATGGTATTTAATTTCTGTTGTTTTAGCAACAACCCCACACAGTTAGTACTCCTAAAATTCATATTTGTATAACAACTTAGAAATAAAATCCAATACTTACTTGTCTCCCACAATTCCCAAGTTGATTGTGGGGTAACCATGTTCCTGAATCGTGGCTAAGAGGGTTGAACGATTGCTGTCTCGAATCTTTCCTGGTAAGAGGTCATCTTCAGGATTTAGCAGCTACAAGGCCAAAAAAACCACCACAAATTATTCTCTTAGGATAATGTTGCCTATTGTTAATGGAAAAATAGATCTAGTAAGCAGAGTTTAGTATATCTAGCACCTACAACAGTATTTGGCATATAGAAAATATATGCTCAAAGGATCTTTGAATAAATATTGAAAGTATAGGAGGATGAAAAAATGGTCCTGCAGAAATTTAAATGGTGACTAAACAATACTGCACCAGCTTTGGCTACAATTTGACAATAGTGCTCTGGAGATGCTGGCCTTCCCAGTGGTTGCTTACTGAGGCAAACTAAATAAAACAACTTTGATTTTAACTCCCAATATTATTTTCCAATTTGTTTGAGGTAGAGACTCTGTGACATGATATTCTCAAGTCTGAAGAGAATGATCATTTATCTTTTCTTTCAAGCTTTTTTAAAAATCTCTTTTCTGAAGTGGAATCAATACCTGAGAAGTTAAACTTATTTGAAGGAGGAGACAGATGCCTTGTCTCTTTATTAGCAAACTTAAATAAGTAATACTTAACAACACATACTCACAATTCCATGACTTTGAATCACCTTTAGAAATTTAATATCTGCTATTATATGCCTATAAGAAAATTATAAGATGCTTAGTTTATTTTCCAATGAGGCAGTATTGGAATAGCAGAAAGAGGTTGGTATTCAGATAAGGTTCAAATTCAAGTTGCCCAAACATATTATGCCTTAATTTTCTCATTTATAATATTTTGGGGCAGGTGAAAGTAGGTTTACAGTTATACTATAAATAAATAATACAGTAATTAATAAATAATAATACAAGAATAAACTTTCTTATGTACTCACAACTGTAAACCTACTTTTGCCCAACCTGAATAGTAATAACTACCTTATTATAGTAGTTGTTAGGATTAATTGAGATAATGAATACTCAGTTGATATAGATAAATATACAATAAACAAGATTTTCTTTTCTTTCTTTATTACGTATGATATTGAGAGAGCACTTACTTTCCCCCCTAATTGGTCTCATATTATTACTCCTAGATGCTTGTATAGATGAAATTAGTTTATAATGTGAACATGGATTTGGATTTCTTAGAGTATAAAATACTTAAAAGTAGGGGGTCCTCACATACACACACACAACAGACAACTTTAATTTATGGATAATTTTAAGATGCACTCTGATTTTAGAAATGTTACAAAATGAACAAAGTATATATTTGAAGTGAGAAAATCTGGAATATTATCTTAGGAGGCAGACGGCAAGCCTGCACATTTAGATGCTCAGGTTGTTAATATGGCCAATACCCAGGGCTTCATATCTCAGTTCTCCCAAACAATAACCTCTAGTTTTTTCAGTCTCATTAGTGATACTATGTGGCTGGACCTTTTGCTTTGTGTTGAAAAAGTAGTAGCTTTGCAACTGACTGGCCCTTACAATAGCTGAAGGAAAACTCTGTCTTATTTAGTGTCACTGGGAGCCTTCCATTCAGATATGGCACTGATTTAACTTAATCAGATGCCAGGTTACATTGCAACCCACTTTCATCCTAAGTCACCAGCAGAGCTTGGAAAATTGCTATTGAAAAAGAAAACAAAGAAGAAAATTGCTATTGAGTGCTAATATAGATTAATTTTCTGATCTAATTAACACATGGTTATTGAAGCTATTATCCTATATAATAAAAGCCTAATATGCTAAGTGTCCAGTTGACTGGTCATCTGTTCAACCAATCAAAGCATAATATGCTAATGATATGCTAAGACCACTCAACCGCTCGCTATGACGTGTACTGACCACCAGGGGGCAGATACTCTGACCAGTAGGGGTCTGGGGTCTGGCCAATCAGGATGAGTGAGATGGGCCGGACAAGCCCTGGAGCCCTCCTGCAGTCCCTCCCCGGTTGGCCAACCTCCTGTGTCCCTCCCCGGCCCTGATCGTGCACCGGTGGGGTCCCTCGGCCCATCCTGCACCCTCTCGCAATCTGGGACCCCTTGGGGGAATGTTGGAGAGTCGGTTTTGGCCCGATCCCACAGGCCAGGCCAAGGGACCCCACTGGTGCACAAATTCGTGCACCGGGCCTCTAGTAATTTTATAAAGGTCATGGCTTGCAGCTCTTTAACTCCATTAATCAGATAACTTGTTTCAGAAAGAAAACTATGGCTATGTAATTTTTTTCAGAAAAGGGTACTAGCTACCAACTAAGTAAGATTCCTCTGTTATTAAGGTATTTTCTTTGCCATTCATACTCCTCTCTGCTACTTTGCTGTAAACAGTTCCAGAAATAACAGAACAATTAGAGATTATTGGAGAATCAGTTATTTGTCTCTAAAATTGACATAATGAAATAATAGCTAGTTAAGTGAGGGGATAGCATTTTAAGTGTTTTCAAAGAAAGCATACAGAATTGGATGGAAGATGATAAAACTGAGATACTAGAATAAATTCACAATATTCCCTTTTTAAAACTGAGTATTATTTTCTGGTATCTTATACTTCTGGTCATCTCTGGATGATGTCTGAAACTTATTACAGTTGAAATACAAAAGAAAAAAAATACAAAGTAGGTGCAGGGACTGTGCACCAACCAGAAGGAATGACATTTCACAGACAAGCTAAATTGGCATTTAAGAGCAAGGCTCCTGGCTTTGGTTAAAGATGGTGAATTAGGGAAATCCTGAGCTCACTTTCTCTCATAGACACCAAAACTACAACTACATATAGAACAGTTATCTCTGAGAATGACCTAAATACTAGTAGAATAGATTTTCTACAACTATGAATTAAAAAAAAAAAGCCATACTGAGTGGGATAGAAGGGGCAGAGACTCACCTTACCCCCTACTCCCCATGCAGTGACTCACAAGTGGGAGAGAGATCACAACTGCAGAGGTCTCCCCTGAAAAGGGAGGGGTCCGAACTCCAGCCTAGGGTTCCTGTATCAGGCAGAGGAGCCCGTATAACATCTGACTTTGAAAACCAGCAGGGCTTAGGTCTGGGAGTCAAAGGGTTGTAGGAAAACAAGGCTGCACTCTTTCCGAGTCCCAGCACAGAGGCAGCAGTTTGAAAAGCACCTGGGTCATATGTGAAGGTAATACATTGACTAATTTTAGGGCATCTGCTGGAGGGAGAGGGATCTGTCAGAACTTTTTCCAGAGTCCGAAGTGCTGGTGGGCACCATGTCTTTCCCCTTTATTACTCTCCTTCCTTCTGCCTGGTCGGATGCTGGAAGGTGCCATTTCTGTCACTCTCCATTAACCTTGCTAACACTGTTCACCCTACCTTGGTGTTTCCCTGAGGACCCACCCAGGCTGGCACCGCTCCAAGTGGTTTCTAACCTTCCACACCTGGTGGGCAGCCTCAGGAGCACCAGCACACAGCAGTGTGTCTGTAATAAGCTGAGGCTGGACCTTGCAGCCAGTGCCTCACAGCCAGCCAGGCCAGAGACCAGCCTTGCCTGCCAGTGTGTTCATAGCAGTTGTGGCCCAACCACAACAGAAGACCACACTAGTCCATACAGGAAACACTTCTTGAGCACCTGGCAAGGGGGGATTCCACCACTGAAACCCACAGAACACCTTCTAAATAAGGGTACTTTTTCAAGACCAGCAGACATAGCTGATCTACCTAATACATAGAAACAAAAAGGCAAAATGAGGAGACAAAATATGTTCCAAACAAAAACAACACAAGACAAATTCCCAGAAAAAAACCCTACACAAAACAGAGCTAAGCTGTCTACTAGGTAAAGAGATCAAGTAATAGTCATAAAGATGCTCATCAAATTCTGCAGACAAGTGAATAAACTCAAGTGAGAACTTCAACAAAGACATAAATTACAAAAAGAACCTATCATAACTGAAGAATATAATAATTGAAATGAAAACTACACTAGAGGGAATCAACAGATCAGAAGATGCAGAAGAATGGATTAGCAATGAGGGAGACAGGATAGTGGAAATCACCCAATTGGAAGATCAAGAAAAAATAATTTAAAAGAATAAGGAGAGCATAAGGGACCTCTGGTACAACAACAAGTATATTCACATTTGCATCACAGGGGTCCCAGAAGGAGAAGAGATAGAGAAAGGGATGGAACCCTTTTTGAAAAAATAATGGCTGAAAACTTTCTTAATCTCGTGAAGGAAACAGATATCCATATCCAGGAAGCATAGAGAGTCCCAAATAAGATCAATCCAAAGATACCCACACCAGGACACATTATAATTAAAATGTTAAAAGTTAAAGATAAAGAGAGAATCTTAAAAGTAGCAAGAGAAAAACAACTAGTTACATATAAGGTAATGACCATAAGACTATCAGTTGATTTTCAACAGAAACTTTGTAAGCCATAAGGGAGTGGCATGATGAAAGGGAAAACTCTCCAACTAAGAATACTCTACCCAGCAAGGTTGAAGGAGAGATCAAGGGTTTTCCAGATAAGCAAAGGCTAAAGGAGTTCATTAATATTAAACTGGCATTACAAGAAATGTTAAAGGGTATTCTTTAAGTGGAAAAGAAAATGCCAAAACTAGAAAAAAGAAAATATATGAAATAAAATCTCATTAGTAAAGGCAAACATATAGTAAAGTTAGTAGACCATTTATAAAGTTAGAGTGAAAACAATTTAAATGACAATAAGTACATAACTATCAATAGTTACTTTACATATCCTATACAATTAAATAGTAAGAAAAAGATTTTAAAACTCTAAAATATCCTTTTTGTTGTTATTGATCTCAACATATGGGGAAAGCTGTTTAAAGAAAAAGCACTTCATGTAGAAGGGAAAAATATAATCTTAATGATGATTTCAATTCAGGATCAAGATATAGTGCTCTGCATACAAGGGAATACTTACTAGCAGTACTTGAAGACTTGTGAGTTGAAATTGCATGTTACTTGAAAGATCGAATTAAGCTAAGTTTTGGTGCACAGCAGTTGTACATGATTTCATGTTTATGTAGCAAAAGGCATTGAAATGTACTAGTATTGAAACATACA